AATTTTATTTTAAAAACTAGTTAAAATGAGTGATCTTTTTGGAGTAAAATTTTAAAAGTTCAACATATTGAACTTTAATAATAAATATAAAAGAAATGGTCTTTATATCCAATTAAATATACCAATAAAGAATATGCAGAAAGTTAATGCTGATCAAAATTTCTTCTTAAAATGGCGCCTCATTCTCTTCATTACTTTAAACCTAAATCCTTTTCAATAGAGGTTTTGGAACTAAAATCCTAACCGCACTATAAATTTGGCAGCAAAATTTTTGTATCACAAAAATCTATAAAGATTCGGACGTGCCCTATGACGAATTCCTAATATAGTTTATTACTATAGTATTTCAATGATATGATAACTCGGTTAAGTCCGGAGCGATCTTAATTAAAAAATTCACACGGTAGAGATTTTGTGCAATCGAATCATATAGTCTTTCACTTCGTTATGGACTAGCTAGGAAACCATTGTTAAGGGACCAATCACGAAACGATTCAAATTTCGAGCGGTGACATTTTTGTGTCACCCAGAATAGACCTTATACGGACTAATTAGATAAGTAGAATCACTTCATATTATCAAGTCTTATATATATCAAAGTTCTTTGTGACGAATTTTTTAAAATTAGTCAAAGATGTTGGTAATATCAAAAAAAAAAGGAGTGATATTAACATGGAAGGTTCCTTATTTTAAAAAAATTTTCTCGTTTTGCGATGTTAGTTGTACTTTAATAAATAGTTATTAATTTTTTTTATTTTTAATAATATAAAGTAACTGGCATAAATTAGATAAAGTAAAGGTGTGTGTGAAACTGATAATATGCTATTAAAATCACGTCACGGTTCATATGATTTTCTATGTTCGTGACTCACAAACCTCCCATATTTCTATTAAAGCGCAAAGAAATTTCAAATATACGAATCCTGACTTAGCTATTAATCGAGTATATAGCCAGCTTGTCGAAACCTCCAGGTTTCAGCAGTGTTTTTTTTCCTTGTCCGTAATCAAGTAGAATTGAACGCCATACCTTACGCTCCAAATCTTCAGTCTTGTTGGTACATTTATTGTCCTTTAAAATTAGAAAATACACATATAATGTAAACAAAGCAAACAAAAAGTACTTATCGTTTGGGTATGTATGACCATCAGGAAACCAAATATGGAAAGTTTGCTAGGAAAATGGGGCTCCGGGAATTTTTTTGACTAAAATTAAGACCTTATTACATTTTAATCTAATAACATCAAAAAATAAAATAAATAAAATACAAAATTTTGTTAAAAAATTCCCAGAGCCCCATTTTCCTAGCAAACCTCCCATATGGGAAATTCTTAAAAATCGCAAATTCGAAACCTAAAAATTATCTATTTCAAATAGCGATTTTAATAATCCTGTATATAAAAATGGTTTTTTTTTTTTTTTGACTTATCAATTCGCAAAGATTGGTGATGCCAAACGAATTTTTATTTATATTTTCGCACTGTTTTGTAATATATTTTGTAAAATAGAAACAGGACCAATCGTTATTAATGGCACAATACGATCACGTAATTTTAAATTTAATAGTCGTGGAAAAAACGATATCAAGATTAGATTTCATATAAAATTTTAAAAAACGAAATTTATTCGTGCTTAATTTTATTTTGTGTCAAACGATCTTTCAGTTTATTCTGAACAAACTCAGCAGGTTTAATCATTAATAATTTACAAAATATAACCAACCACGTTCACTTTCGCATGACCTAGATACAAACAATCCGTAATTTTCTAATGCATAAGACTTTCAGAATTCTATTTCTTGAAATGCTCATAAAATTCTAAAGTTCTGGGTATCGTTTATCATCAATATATTCCGTTAACTTAATGACGGTTGGTTGCATACTTGCACTTGACATATTTTATGAACACATTATTATGACTGTAACTCTAGTTTGAGGGAAGAAATTGTTTAAATCTAACCAACCGACTGTAAATAAATGTTTAATTTCACCACGTAGTGGATCCATACATTTGTCCCAGCATTAAAATATTCCAACCTAAAAGCTAAACTTTGATTTACTTTTAATGAAGGCGGAAGTTCTGCTTTCTCAGTTTCTTGAAGTATCCTAAAAGTAAATTACACAATTTGATAGAAGTCAAAATAGAACATTTTAAACCCAAATTATAATGGCCATGACAGCGAATATATTGATGCTTAAAATGTATAAATACAATAAATTAACAAAGCATTTATTAATATTTTTTAAATTATGCACTTTACTAATTTAATGAAGGGCAATTTCTTATCATAAACGGAGTGGGCATATGTGATGACAAATAACATTTTAGTATAATTTAGTAAAAGCGAAATTTAGTGATGTGATAAATAGCACCTTAATCTGTATAACTACCTAGGTAATTTGAACCGTTGCCGTGATTTCGAACATTCTGGAATAAACCACATTTTCGTATTACTTGAGCTTACTAATTATTAATACGGTTATGTAAAGTTT